GTGTGCTAATAAGAAATATTAATTACATCAGTCTGACTCTTGTTATTTAACAGGCATCTTTCCTGAAAGCATTTAAGATTTTTCTTTAACATCATGAAATTTTAAAATTCAAAGTATAAAGTGTGTTTGTTTTTTCATTCATCCTCTGTTTTACATTGATTAATCTTGTATTCTTAGCTTTAATTGGAATAGGTCAGAGTCCCTAAAGTTTTCATAAGAGTTGGAAAAAAAAAATGGGGTGTATATAGTGCCTAGAGTTGAAAAGGTGGAGTGAGCAGCTAGCAGTGTATAGCTTTGGGGACAGAAGCCGCGTCTGTCTTTGGAGTAAGGGTCCTCGGTGGTTGCATATTGGAATCATCTGGGGAGCCTAGGCGAGCCTGGCGCCTGCCCTGGCCTGGGAGGTTCTCTGGTAGCAGGTCTGGGGTGCAGCTTCAGTTTCGGAGTTTAAGAAGCATCCCAGGAGATTCTGAGGCACCTCACATGTTGAGAGCCACTCTCTAAGATATTCTCAGGGATGGCATCCAACACTTGCAGCAGATGTGGTTTATATCATTTGGTGCTTGTTAAAGGAACAGATTAATGCAAGATACACAAACATGCGAATTTAGATTGGCTTTCAGCGGCTGCCCACAGAGCCAGCCAGGTGTGGAAAAGTGCAAAGGCGCTGTCTGTGTGCCGGAGATCCACCTGAAGGGTCCAGGCCTGGAGCTCGCCATAGCGCCCTGTGCGAGTCCATATCAGGAGGCTGAAGGGTCTGCGACAGAAGCCAGGAGACGGTGTCCCAAGTGAAGGTGAAGACTGGAGCTCCCCCAAAGACAGAGAAGTGAGCCTTCCTTCTCCAGTCCCCTTTTATACCATTTAGGGGGCACGCTGATTGGCTGCTGTTACTTACACCCAGTAAATCCCCTCAGCCACTCCCAGAACTGTGCTGATCCGGTTTAGGTGGGCGTTCCTTGCTCAGGTTGACACAACAGTTGACTATCACACGTTCCAGGGAGTTGTCCAGCTCCTGTGTGACTGGAGGCTGTGGGTGGGGGCAGTGTCGATCTCTGGAGCACCCCCTTTTTGTGCCTGGGAGTAGAAGGACTGTTGCTCACATCCAAGGCATGATCCTGGAATGCAGGCTCAGCAGTCCCCTGAAGTTGTCCTTAGGACTGAGTGGGTGGAGAGTCATCAGCAGTTGCGGGCTGCTTAGCGCATTTGGGTGGTGTTTGGAGAGAGGAGTGGGCGGAGACAAGCTCTGAAATTCGAGACCTAGTGCCCTCGAGGCTGCCCTCTTCCTGCTTTCTGCTCTTTGCCGCCCACATATGAACTCGTGGCTGCACTAAGGGCTGCTGGTCTTGGGGATCCCTGATGTGTGTGTGGCCTCCTTCAGCACTCTCAGGCCTCGTCTCCTTTCCGGGGCAGGTGCCGTTGTTGCCCCATGTGTCCACACACCTGTCTATGCAGATGACAGCCGCCCTCCTCAGGGCCATGTGGCCGTTTCTGAACATCGGCCATTATGAAACTGTGTTGCTGCTTTGTGAAACAGTTTTAAATGTGCAGACTCCAACCTAAGAGGCCCTGGAAGCTGTTGGTTTTTGCAGCTTCCTGCCATGTTTAGTTTGTCTTGTCCCTGTTGCCTTGGGCAGAGCAGAGGGTGGGTATTGGTGGAGGTGAGCTGCAGCATGGTTGGCGGCCAGGATCCAGCAGACTCCTGTCTCTCCGTGCTAGCGGGTGTGCCCAGTCTGAGGAGGCAGAATAGGGTGGATAGCATTTCAGAAAAATCTTAAGTAAAAATAAGTTTTAAAAGCAAATCTTTTTAGAAGAAGAAAGTGTCTGCTGTCTTAAGTGACAGGGAAGGACCTGTCCTTTGACAGCGCTGTAGTTACTGCTGTGCAGTGTCTCAGTGTCATGAAGCCAGCCCTCAGTGTGAGCAGGGGCCGTGTGGTTTGGGGCCACTTGTCTGCCTGTCTCCTTGTGTGCAGACAGGCGTGATAGCAGGGCCCATGCTGGGGGTCATGAGGGTGTTTAGGACAGGCCCGCATCAGCTGTCACGAAGTGCTGGCAGCATTCCATTTGTTATCTTCATCATCCTGTGCATCTGGAAGATTTTTTTTTTATTAAAAAAAAAAAAGTTTTGAGGCTGAGGATGTAGCTCAGCGGCACAGTGCCTGCCTGGCGAGTGTGAGGCCCTGAGTTGGATTCCCAGCACCCCCCAAAAAAGTTTTTTGAGGCAGGGTGTTGCTATGGAATTCGGGCTGGCCTCAAACTCACTGTATAGCACGGGGTCACCTTGGGCTGGCAGTCATCCTGCCTCAGCCTCCAGAGTGCTGGGATTACAGGTGTCTGCCACCATGCCCAGCACTGCCAAATTATTTCTTGTCTTCATTTTCTTTAGCTGTTTGAATTAGATAACTTTTTATAATTCAGTTACTGTACAGTGTCTGTTTCACCTTGCTTCCAAAATGGGTGTAAAAGCTGTTTTTGAAACCAGTCTGAACACCTTCCATGCTCGCAGGTTCTGCAGAATCGAGACGACTTGAAGATGCTTGTGACACTTCTTGCCTTCCCTCCATTTTAGGAGTGAGCTTTGTCTTCTAAAGTGCATCTTCTGGGTCCCCCATGGGGCACGGCCTGTCAGCCAGAGACCGCTGTGGCCCCCGGGGGGCAGAGGGGCATGCTGGAGTCCCCACTGCCCATGGGAAGGAAGGCATGAGCAGCGTCTGGGAAACTTGGGCTATGTGCTCACTCGGTGCGCCCTGCCTGGAGCTGTCTGGGCGGACAAACTTTCCGTAGTGGATTTTTCTCAAATAGGAAAAGTTACCTTAGCCACGAGATGACAGCCCCACAGTGCCTGTTTTCCAGAGTGCCAGTTATTTAGGTAGGGCTAAGATGCATTGGTCATGATTTTACATCATGCTGGAGCAACACTTTTTCATAATGTAGCCACTTGCTAAAAGCAGAATGAAGCGTGACCCACCTCTCCTCTCCAAGAGGAGCAGTGTTAGCACCTATGGGAGCTGACTTTGCCTCACTGTGACCACGGCAGCCTGCACCCATCACGAGGGCACTGGCCTAGCTAGGCGGGCCTGGAACCCTGCACAGACACTGCACTTCGTGCAGGGCAGTGATGTCAACACAGAGTCCGAGTCTTTGCCAAACACAAGATTCACCGTGAGAAGCCTCCAGCTTCCTCGGTGAGATGGGCCTGCCTTTGCCCACGCTCCTGGATTGGTCTCTCTCCTGAAACCCTCCTCCCGTGAGCAGCTGTCTGAGCAGCACTCTGGCTGAGTTCGGTATGATTGTGGAAGTCTCTTTGAGTCCTCCCGTGTTGACAGGAGCTCTGTGGCCGAGGTTCTCAGGAGTACCATCTTCTCCGTTCCTGCCCTGTACAGCAAGCGTGTTGGGGATTCAGCCACCACCGTTCTGGGATGGCTGCAAGTCCGCCCTGGGCAGGAGCAGGGCACTTGGCCTCCTCTTTCAGTGCTCCCTCTGCTCTGCATACTGGTGCTTCCTGGGCATCTGGGGTCATTCTGCTCACTGGTTTGAGCTTGAGGAAGTACTGCTAGAGATGAAGCTGTAGCCTTGTGGGACAGCCCCTCGGAAGAGCACTGCTGTCTCAGCTCTGCCCTATGTGGCTGGAGTTTGCTTTGCGTCCCTCCCAGGAGCAGGACCGAGCCACATAGCAGCAGCCCTTCCCCTCTGTCCTTGCAGCAGGAAGTGGGTTATTAGTGCAGGTTAGTGCCAGGGCTGACTGAGGCACACACTTGGCTGTGTCCCTGTGGAGTGACAGCTCTCTTCAGCTTGTCCTAGCTCCGAATACCAGAAGGACTTACTGATTCAGTCTGCGTACATCTGTTGTTTCTGTGACTCCTTGGCGGCATCAGGTCCATAACCAGCTGGATAACTCATTCCAGGTGTTGGCAGCCTCTTTCCCTAGGGACTGGGCTCTCTCCCCAGAGTCCTGCCGGCACTCTCGTTCTGGTCTCCCTCACCCTCAGTTAACCTATGTGAGTCCTTAGTCAGAAGCCTTCCAGGGCCGCCCTGCCAATGGTTCCTGTGGCTGGGGCAGGGCTCACACCCTGAACACACGTGTGCCTCCCGGTAGTCAGTCCTGCACTCTCACACTCCTGTGCATTTACATCCCAGCAGCCTTGGGCTCTGTCTGTCTCCCTGTATGGTGATTTTTGTCTTTTACATCTCCCTTGTACTTTTTCAGCTCCATTCGTTTGGCAGATAACCCTAGGTCATTGTTTAACCCTCTACAACTCAGTTGAAATGTCTTTGAAAGCCAAGATTTAAAAACTATTTTTATTACAATATGATATCCCTTAGAAGAGTATACTAATCAGAATCGTGACTGACCACAGCAGAGAACCAGCACTGGGATGAAGACCGAATTGCTGCCCCAGAAGCCCAGCAGCCCTGGTGCCTCCCACCAGGCCACAGAAGAGCCCTGGCCACTGCACTCTACGCTCTGTCCCCCTGCCTCCAGCACCCGTGCTCAGCGTGACTGTCACCGGTGTGTGCAGTAGCAGGCTGTTTGCACTCATTGTCAGATTTCATTTTCCCATCTGTGTTTGGGCCGCTCCCAGCTCTGGGTTCTGAGGATGAACACGCTCTTGGGGACAGAGCAGTTGCAGAGCAGCGACCAGCGCTGGGTGTGTACGCTCAGATGTGCAGATGCTGGTGGTGACTGCACCTGACCCTGGACCTAGCTGTCCAGCCAGGTCTCCTGCAGGTGAGGTCTGTGCATATCCCAGGCCAGGCACGAGGCCCTGTGTCATCACAGACTTCACTGACTCCTCCCAGGGATGCCTTGTTTTAAGTTTCGTTCCAGGTGCCTTGTCCCTGTGGTCCAGTCACCCACGGGGACATTGTCCTCTTTACTTTCCTCACTAACCCGACTTTTTTGTGGTAGTGCAAAATGATGTTAGCTTTTTTGGAGTATAAAGTATGTTAAGTTTCATGCCTTTGAAAATTGAATTATAGAAGAGCTTTTCTCTCTTTTCCAACAGTTGGATATTCTAAAAATCAAGCAGTCGCACAGAGCTCAGGGTCTTACCTTTGCTTTTTGGATTCGGTAAGTAGCTCTTTGTTTTGTTTATAATGGATTAATGTATTTTGGTTGAGTAATGATTGTAAAATCATTTTTTCTGTTTATTATGATTAGGCTTAGAAGTTAAGGTTGTAGCTGGGCATGGTCATATGTGCCTATAATCCCAGCACTCTCAGGCTGCGGCAGGAAGATCCTCAGTTCGAGCCCAGCCTGGGCAACTTAGTGACTTAGTGACACCCTGTCTCAAAATTTCAAAAAAGAGCTGGAAATGTTGCTCTCTGCAAAGGCTCTGGGTTTAGAACTCAATACTGCAAGAAAAAAAAAACCAGTTAAGATCAGTGAATTGGGGCCCGAGATTTAGCTCGGTGGTTTCGCCGCCTGCTGCGCAAGTGCAAGGACCCGAGTTCGATCCCCGGTACCAAAAAAAAATGGTGAATTGTTACTACTGCTTAATTGGAGTTGTACTTAATGAGTTAATAATTAACAATAAGATTATGTAAAAACATAAAATTGTACCACAGAAAACAATATCAACAAAATTAAGTTAAACTGGCATCATATTGGCAGATATGATTCCTGAGAGATTAACACATTCCTGCCGGTTTGAACCTCCAGTGGTGCCTTTGGAGCCTGTCCGAGCAATGGGACTGTCCCGTGCTGCATGACGACAGTCACGCACGAACCACTGGTGCTCCAGAGCCACCCAGCAGCGAGTCATACACATTACGGCCCCATCGTCAGCTTGTTAAGAACCATGAATGTAAGCAGCTCATGAAGAAACCACAGGAAAACAGAGTATATTCGTGGGTGGAAAGTGGAGTACAGTCTCAGATGAAGACAGGCGGGCGACAGGTGAACATCCACAGAAGTTTGAGTTGGACAAATTAAATTACAGACATTTCAATTTTTAGTCAGAAATTCGTGAGATACTTTTAAACCCCTGATTAAAAACATGTTCTTAAAATGTAGGTACTTGGAGTTTCAGAAAGTGCATCGGTGTGTACCTTGTTGACAGTGTGATAGTGCATTTTGTTCCAGAATTTAAAATACCAGGCCCTTGACTCCAAATCCCACTTGTAGGTATCTGGGAAAAATTACGATGCTTAGGTTTTTCCTATGACAGGATGCTGGAAACGGCAGGTCTGTGGGGGCAGGGAACTGGCAGGCGTGCCAGGTAGCAGGACAGACGATGGTGGTGGGCGAGCGAGGACGCAGGGAACATTGCCCACGGGCCGTCACACACAGCCTAACACCCCTCTTCCTCACGTGGCCAGACTAGGGCCTCTGTGTGTGCGCTGGGCCCTCCCCGTCCGGGCTGGGCCTCTCAGCCCTGGGGCCTGCTTTGGCTCAGCTGCAGCCAGGCCAGCCGAATGTCTCCTCATCTCATGTGGCCTTAGCTCTGCCCGTGCTCACTGATGCCTCTGAACCACGTGTGGGAGCGGAGGCTGCAGGCCAGGGAGGACTGTGTGGGCCCTGCCCACCTCCTCGGTCTCTGCCTTCCTCTTTTCCTAGGCCGGAACACCTCGACTTTCCTAGTTCCCTTCCACAGAACACCCACCTCCCTCCTGTCCTTCCGGGTCCCTGCCGACCCTCTGGGGCTCACTGCTCACACTCACATTCCCCAAGGATTCTCTGCAAAGACTGCGACACCCACGCAACGAAATGTGTGCTTTCCATTGCTTCGGGGGGTGGGTCGTGGTGGCTCTCTCTCTCCCAGGACTGTTCTTTGACTGTTTTACAGTTTACAGCAGCGGTGACCTTTGAGGTTGTGACTGGCAGGAGATTAGAAGCCCCCGTCCTCATGGTGTTTTAAGCCTGTATGTAGGTCCCAGCTTGGGTAGGTCCCAGCTTGGGCAGCTCCCAAGTTTGGCTCAAAGTGAAGAGAAAGCACTGGAGTCATTCTCTCCCCTCCTTCACGGTTCCTTTTGTTCACAAAAGGTCTAGCGAGAAAGGCAGACAGCGATCGGCAACGCGAGAGGATCGTTGGGCAGGCGCACCTGCTGAGGTACTGTGTGAGCCAAGGCCCAGTGATCGCTTAATAAAGCTGGTGTTGGGGCCTTAACACCACGCCAGCTGTTAGACTGGAGGAGAGTGAGACTCAGGCCCTCAGGGTGGCCCCTAACCTTTAGGGGTAGGCTGAGAAGAGAGCAGGTTTAACTCTGGCTAGGTCAGGCTTGGGATTCAGGGCAGGGTGGGGTGGTCAGGGGCCTAGAACAGGACAGTACTACTGAGAGGAAAAGCCACTGCATCAGTGTCCACCACACTGCAGTCACATGGTAAGCGGGCAGTGCAGACACAGACAGGGAAGCCTCACCCCTACTCTAGGGCTTGGAGTTGTTCTCATGGGTCAGTTGAAATAAATCAATGAAATCCTGCTCAGGTGAGCTTTGATAAGCATTGAGCAGCAGTGTTTGTGCTGGGATTTGCAGGATTGTCTCCCGGTGATCACAGGGGCGGATGCATCTGTCCATCCCGATGTCCGTCCGATGGGACAGATGGGCACAGTGAACATGAGCCTTTGCTTTAGGGCTCAGCATGGAACGCGCAGAATCTATCCAGTCTTCATTAGGAAGCTTAAGAGTTGGTGTCTACAGTTAAAATAACAGGGAAAACCCACAAAAACATAGCAAAAGAGGAAAGGGCCCAGAGAAAAGCAATGAGCCAGAAAGAAATATGAATTGAGGAGGGAGTGTAAGCCACATAGGTTTGAAGGCAGGCAAACTCACGTCCCAGTGTCGAGCGGTCAGGGGCCGTACCCAGACCTCAGGATCCCTGAAGACCTCCGTCGTCTGCGCGCTCAACCCTCCAGAGCAGCCATCCTCTCATCTTAACAAAACCAGGACAGTCCCCATCGGCACAGGCTTCTGAGCTGAACGACTTTTGCCAAAATCCAGGGGAGCCCGCGCCCAGCTCCTCTGTGCCTCAGCCGGGGGCATCCACATGCAGGGCAGCCCCCACAGCGACAACCCATCAGCAGTTCCCACAAGAAGTCCCCCTTTCAGCAGCCCCCAAGCAGAAGGTGCACCCATTTGTGCTCCATTCTCTTTAAAACAGACTGGCAGGCCGAGGGGTGTGCAGACATTGGAAGTGAAGTGGGTGCTGCACTCTCCCGAGGGAACCTGGCCAAGGACGCCCCTCTTTGGGGTCACTGTCTGTGGCTGTGTTGCCTCGTTGTCCCCTCTGTCAGGTGCCTCAGCTTTGCTTTGCCCCTTTCCTCATGGGGTTCATCCCCATCGCCTGAGGAGAGGGTCATCTGCATATGGAGGCCTCTGTGAGGCTGGTGCCTTCCCGCCCCTCCCCTGCATGTGTGGCAGGTCACCTTGTGTATTCCCTGGAATTTCTGTGGGACCTGCTGTTTCTCGAGGGATCCTGGCTCCTCGCCATGAAGGAGTGACTCAGAAGTCAGGTCTGGGGCTGTGTATGCTGCTGTTGGACGCCACTTTCCTAGGTGCTCAGTGTGTGTGTGCACATGTGCACAAGCACGCTTGTTTACCCTGCACTTGCTTCCCCTTCTCTGTGTTCCGGGAACTGTGCCTCCCTGGATGCTCTGACTCCTGGCCAGTGCTGCAGGGCTGCGCCAGCTGGTGACAAGTGTGTGTGGGGTTCATGCCTTTTATGCTAGTGGGTCACCAGCCTCCTCCTGCCTATCACCCCTTGCAGCACGGTGCTCCAGGGAGGCAGAGAAGCAGTGGTCCAGCCTCCAGAAGCTCAGTGCCTTGTTTCTGAAATGGTGGGAGGAAGGAAGGCCTCTATGCAGTCCTGGGCCTGTGAGGACGCCAGGCCAGTCAGCCACCAGGCCCAGCTTCCCTGCCTGGCCTCAGAGCACCTCAAAGGCAGGGCTGCATCTGCGCTTTTATGGCTCGTTCCTCAGAGGCCCTTATCTGGTCGGGCTGTCCTTCAGGTGTTGGGGGAGGGGAAACAGGGCCAGCCCTCTGTGTGTCCCCAGTTGGGGTCAGCAGTGAAGGAGGACAGGCTGCTGGATGTGGCTGCTGTGTTCTGTCCCAGTGTGAGTATGATGCCCACGAAGGATGATGTCCAGAATTTGACCACAGGCCACAGATTAAAGTAAGGGATCTTCTAATGAGAGTGGGGCAGCTAGGGAGGGTGTAGGAGCCCTGCTGGGCACTGAGGTTGCACCTTGTCCTGTCATGGCAGCTGGGATGTGCTCTGCTGACCCCACCTGGAGCCCCAAGTGCACCTCCCTGAGGAGATCATGCCTAGGAGACCCATGCCCAGCTGCTCTTAGCCCTGGGGCACCTCTCCTCTGTAGCAGGTGCCCTGAGCCGGGGCTGGAGTAGGTGCAGAGAAGCAGCTGGGGACGAAGCAGACCAGAGAACCAAAGCGAGGGTCCCCCAGGGTTCGTGGGCCATGGCCTCCTGCTTCCCTCCTCATCCCTCATCTCCGAGGGAACTTGATCTCTAGTTTAAGAAACCATGCATGAAAACAAGACAGCACCACGTCCAACAGGCAGCTGATGTTGAAGTTCCTGGGAGCCCCAGTCTGGAAACAGCCACATAGCCCAGTGGCTGTGTTAACTGGCAGGAAGGACCTCCTTGCTGGTGTGAGTGCCATCTTCCTCCTTGTCCTGTAGGAACCCAGTGATCTGTTGGTCTTTTCTCTCTTTGATTGGCCCAAGGACAGCATACAGGTGTTTCGGTGTCTGTGACTGACAGAGTAGGCCAGTGGCTCCCAGCTATAGCTATTGGAGAAGGTGGTGCTAGTGGCCCATCTCTTTGTGACCCTAAAAATGCTTCAGCTGCAGGGACTGGGCCCCTGCGTCCCGAGTCCAGATACCAGCAGCAGCACCACTGTGCTGCTGGACAGACTGGGAGCTCTGTGTCCAGGGGTGGGCCGTCTTGAACCTTTGTGTCCCCTGCCCTTTAACCATGGTCTCTAGGACAGATGGACAGCAGCCTCATGTCAGGTGGTCCCTCTACACTGCCTGCCAGCAGCATATTAGTGTGATAAAAGAATCACTGCTTAGAACCAGTTGGGAACGATGATCTGTTAAATAACCATTAAGA